CAGCAGCAGCAGCAGCAGAAGTAGCAGCAGCAAGGATGAGGATTCCGAGTTTTCTTTAACGATTAGAGATAAAGAAGAGAAGGAGACAGCAGCAGCAGCAGCAGCAGCAGCAGCAGCAGCAGGAGCAGCAGCAGAGGAGACAGCAGCAGCAGGTGTCTCCTCCTCCCCCCCTGGGATCGATATGCTGAGAGCCTGGCAACTGGGGATCGTCTCCTCCCGCCTGGATGTCTCCGTTCCCGTCGCAGTTGTCGATACTGGTGATGCCGTCTGTCTCCGCCTGTCTCCTTTTGTCTCCTTTTGTCTCCTTTTGTCTCCTTTTGTCTCCTTTTGTCTCCTTTTGTCTCCTTTTTCTTTCTTCTTCTTTCTTCTGTCTCCTTTTGTCTCCTTTTTCTCTTTTTTTTCTCTCTTTTTTTGTCTCCTTCTGTCTCCTTTTTGTCTCTTCTTCTGTCTCCTTCTGCCTGTCCCCTTTCTGTCTCTGCTTTGTCTCCTTTTCTGTCTCCTTTTCTGTCTCCTTTTTGTTTCCTTTTCATCTCCTTTTCTGTCTCCCTCTCTCTGTATATATATCTCCTATTTATTATAAATATACAAATCAAAATAAATAAAACAAATAAATATTCATTTATTTATATTCGTATATTTAATTTATTTTTTATTTATATTTGTGTAAATAAATAAATATATAAACAATACAAATATAAATAAATAAATAAATAAAATAATAGAATATAAACAAATAAATAAATAAATAAATAAAATATATACCAATAAATAAATAAATAAATACATAAATAAATAAATAAATAAAATATATTTGTTTTCTTAGGTATAAACTATCTCCACCCCGAGTTGTCTCTGTCGATGTGGGTAAACAGAAAAGAACTCCACGGACAGGTCAGCACCCCACACAAAAGGAGACAGATGAAAAGGAGACAGCTGAAAAGGAGACAGATACAAAGGAGACACATAAAAGGAGACAGATACAAAGGAGATAGAGGGAGACAGATAAAAGGAGACAGATGAAAAGGAGACACATAAAAAGCAGACAGATAAAAGGAGACAGATAAAAGGAGACAGACAAAAGCATATATATATACATATATATGTATATATATATACATATATATACATATATATATATATATATATATATATATATATATATATATATATATA